CTGTTTTTCAAGACAGGTCTGGCATTAATAGTAATGACAGATGAGATGTGATTGATTTAAGTGTGCCTAAAGTAGTGAATCACACCGGCTATTCGGAATAGTGTGATAGGAGTGGTCAACAATTATATAAAATTCATCTGTGAGAGAAATGAGGAGTTTGTGTGATGATGAGACAGCAGAGTTAAGCTGTTGGTTTACAAATCCCGGTGGGCAGCTGCATTAGTGGGCTGGTGGACTGTCGAAAAATCCATCAAGTTTATACTGGCCCTGTGTGTCTCTTTACTCTGTGTGCCTGTCATTTGAGGAGCATGAGAACATGCTGCCTCCCATCTATTCCCCTAGGCCAGTCCCAGCGGACCAGTTCAGCACTGAATTTCTTTCCCAATAGACCCCTGGTGGCATGATTCTCACACAGACCAGATTGTTACCTGATTAGCAAATTAAACTGCAGTTGGTGTGCTATGTTAGTAGTTTAATGTTGTGGCCTGCTCGTTGAAAATCTAATTTATCTCAAGAAAAGAAATTTTATTCTGTTTTACCCTAAACTCCAAGAAACAAATATCTTCATATTGTATATTACTGTGAACTATTCATCATATTAGTCATAATATAAAAGGGATGCTGGTGCAAGCAATAATACCTACCCTAGTGTTTGTCTTATAAAATAACTTACCCAAACTATTTTGTTTTCTGAAACAATATTAATGCTGCTGTGCCCTGCCTTGCTGCTTTGTACTTTATGCTATTTGAGTGCTTTGAATTCATTGAACTGACCAGCTATTAATAATTTTAAATTAACTGTGTCTATTTCAGGCCATGTGTTGTTTTGTGTAGATCATAAATTTGCTCTGAAACATAATAAATGCCCCACTTTAGCAGATTTGTGAAGTAAGGAAAGGTTTACTTCAAAATAGCCTGAAGTAGTTTATTTCAGTAACAGCTGGCTTTCTGTGTTAGCTCTCCTGAAAACATCACATATGATTTGTGGGCACATATATGTATTGGAATGTCTGTTCCCACACCTTGTATTGAAGCTTTATTTGGTCCTCCAGATCAGTAATAATAGTCAGTTGAACAACATCCTGTGTGTCATTTGTTCACACTATTACTGTTTGTGTGTATGTTCGGGTTAAATATGTGTAAAGGGAGTTGGTGACTGGCTAAAAGAGTTACTTGAGGTCTGTGCTTGCTGATGTAGCAGAGGTGATTCAGTGTGCCATGAATGGCTGGAGCTGAGACAGAGAGAGAGAGGGGCAGAGAGAGCCTGAGGCAGGTGTGCAGTGAATCACAATGTGCAGCCAGTCAGGTGGGGGAGATCTCAATCCATTCCGGGTTTGAAAAAGCAAACACTATATATTTTTGCTATTTTTCATTTGATTGGCTTGTTTTGCTTAGGGCTCGGAAAATGCTAGTGATGTTAAAGAGAGTATACAGCTCACTGACATGCAGCACTACACACATGCTTTATACTGCATGATCCCTTTTCAGTCACTAAAAAATAGGTCATATATTATCACATGTGGAGGTCTGAATACTAGACTTCTGGGCTGATTCTGTGTCGAATATTGTGTGTTGCCCATAGCAACACACTGGGAGATCCACCTCTCAGAGTCTACTGGTTTCCACAGACAAGCATGCGCTCAGCGGTCTTAGCAACAGCAACGGAAGAGGATGAAAGAGGGAGGGAGGGATAGAGAGAGCAGTAGAAGAGGGGGAGGGGAAGTGGCTCTTGTATGGTTCATCTATAGACATCTCACAATATTTAATGAAAATGGGTTTATTTAGATAGAAACACATGGATTATGTCGACGAAAACGCTATTGTAAACCGGGCAGCAGATGGTGCAGATATTGAAGCAATAGTTAAGGCAGGAATAGATGAGCTACTAATTAGATATTTTACAGCATGGAGATAATCTTTTCTTTCCAACAACTGGGTCAACCTTAGATTTCCTACCTAGAAAACAACAGTCAGAAAAACATGTATTTTAAACTGTCATTAAATATGTCTGTGTTGAAATCTCACAGTATATTCTAACCCACTGAGCAGCAAGTGAAATCAAGCAATAAGCCAGAGTTGGGTATGAAAGCAGGAGGGCAAAGGATCAGTTCATATTCAGAGTAAGGCTCGGCTTCATGAAGTGTAGAGGTTGAACACACTTTCTCGGCAGTTCCTCTGTCCAGTTTTATTCAGCTCTATTAGACAGCAATAGCTGCGTCTCTGTGACTATGTGAGGTTAATATTTTATGTGCACGCATGTGTTTGTGTGTGTGTGTGTGTGTGTGTGTGTGTGTGTGTGTGTGTTTTAGATAGAAAGTGTGTGAGACTTCCTGTGTGTTGCAGTGCAGCAGCAGCAGTGCTAAGCTGTGCCTGGACAGCAGATGCCCAAAAAAAGATGTGATTAAAAATGAGTGCATCTCATTAAAACTCACAAGTGCATGCTGATGTCAGTGGATCACACTGGCTGTCTCTGGCTAAACTGTGAGCTGATCCAGTGTCTCTTTCTGAATTATAAGCCATTTTTATGGCAGTGCCATCATATTTTGTTCTCACAGTTGAGAGAGGAATAAAAACAGATGGGGAGCGTGTGGATGAATTGCAACTAGGGTGTTTCAGACTGCAAGCATATGAGATGTGCTTTGGTTCTCTTAGGCAACAAATGCAACAACATTTCAAAATGTAGTAGAAAGAAGACGAACATGCAGACACAGTGGTGTTAAAGGTTCGTCTGCTTGCACAATAATAGGCTGTGAAGTAAGCAGTGTGCTCCAACCCTCTTTGTTTTTACTCTAAAATATTTTATGTATTTACTTCTACTGTTCGTGGCTCAGTGATATTTATTTTGATTGCTGTAAAACAGGAGGCTGTAAACTGACTGCAGCACATTCATCATAGCGTATTACTAGTTCATTTTCTTTCGGTATGCTGTCTTTGGCGGGGGTGTGGCTGCTTGCTCCAGTGGCTTTGTCTGTTTGCTTGGCTGGCTCAGCAGATCTGTGCAATTGTGTTTGCATGCTGAGTGTCTGCACTGAAAATCATTCACAGTGCAATGACCTCTGTGTGTCTGTATTTGTTGTCTTTGCTAAGTGGGTGAGAACATGCTCATCATTAAACTGCATTCAGTGTAACAGGGACAGAGGCAAGCTGTCACGACAAGAGTGTTTTATACTGTATGTTCTGAAATGTTTATTTTATGTGGGTGCTCCTTTGTATTCACATGCAAAATGCTGAAACTTTTTCCTAAAAAAACTCTTCCTCCCATGCTTCCCTCCATCTGCCTCTGCTTTGTAACTTTACGATCTGCCTACAATCTGCATATCATTCTTTGGGTTTTTTTGTTAGATGTTGTGATATGAGTATTACACTATGATATGCCTTTTCTATGCAGCACTCCCTGTGCTGCTTCTGCTCTGCTGCATGCAGTGGCCTGCTTATTCCTCCCTCTATTTTTGAAGCTTCTCTCTGTCTCCTCACTATTTCTTTCCTCCCTTTCCCGCCATACTGATATAACTCTCAGCTTTCCCCCTCTGCATCTGTCCCCTCCCCCATCCCACTCTTGGCCTCCTTTTCCCACTTTTACGCATTTGTCCTTCGTTTCCCCCTTCATATGCCTCCCTTCTCCTTCTCCTCGTCGTTCTCTGAATTTCTTTCTGCAGTCTACCCCTCTCTCATTCCGCCACATGCTCTGTGCTGCTGCGTCTCATGCCTGTAGGGTTGTGGTTGTGGATGCTGAAAGTGCTGTTGTGTGTCAGTAGGGCACATTCTCTCTTATTGCTCCAGCTTTGTTTGAGCATGGCGCCACTCATATTGAGGTCAGCAGCAGTGATGGTAATCTAATTTACACACACAGGACTGTGCAATCTTTATGTTCACGCACACGGCAACACATCACACATATGTCTAATCCTCTTTCGTGAAAGGCACTTTCACAGAGGAAAAGGGGGCTCAATGGATCGAAATAGAGACAGAAAACAAGAAAACGAAGCGTAAGCAGTGTGTGCTCTCTTGGTGATACAGTGACCTACAGAGAGAAATAGAAACACTCACTTGCGAGACAGTTCATCAATCGTAGCGAAATCAGATGTCTTGCATTGACTGCAGGCATTTTTTTTTTTTAATATCACGACATCTTTTTTATGAAGTCAGAATAATCTTTAAAGTTACCTCTATTGTGCCAGGTTTATAAACAAGTCAA